TGAAGAAAAAAAATATTTTTTGCCTAAAATATTAAATTTTTTTATTTTTTAAATTCATAAAAAACCCAAAACGGAAAAAAGGCAAGTCGTATTACTTTCACGCAAAGTCACATAACCTTTAAGCAAAATGAGACATAGATCATGAAAATCGATGGACGCGTTTCGCTTTTATTCACAATTTTGACAAGAATATTGATTTTATGTTTCAATGAATTTGGATAATATTTATTATATATTATTTATTATTAACACATAAAATTAAAAATTATTACAGGTAATTTAAAAAATTAAAAAATTTAATATTTTAGGCAAAAAATTTTTTTTTTTCATACATTTATTTTTACCGGCAAAACTGTTGATTATATAGAAAAACGTTATATGAACAGATTAAAGGAATTGTAATTTTTAATTTTTTTTTAATTTGTTTGAGCAAAATCGGACTAGTGGTTCTCGAGTTATGTCAAAAAAAGACCACCAAAGGTGACAATTTCCCCTATATGATAGTTACTAACTTCAAATCGATATATCTCGATTCCTAGACGTGACCCAGCGAAACGCCGCGCCACGTATAACTTGTTTTTGACCGATATAACATTTCCCGTTGGTTTCATCCCATCCCGATTTTGACTGTCGCATAGTGTAATAGATTGGCGCTTACACATATGTTAGTGTTTGGCCGAGCTTCTCCTCCGATTTGTGGCGTGCGCCTTGATGTTGTCGAACGGCGATTGTATTTTTATGAGAAGCTGTTTTTCATGGCAGAAATGCACTCGGAGGTTTGCCATTGCCTGCCGAGGGACGACCGCTGTTAAGAAAAAACCTTTTTTCTATATTTTATTTGCGATGTTGCTTTGACCAGGGCTTGAACCCAGCGGCCGACCGTTTTAAGACATAGGGGTCCAATTTATCCTCTTCCACATGTGCAATATTTTTTTCTAGCCAAGTAAAATGATGAAATATTATTTTTATGAGATCATGAATAAAAAGATGTAAAACTTTAAATAATTTGGGACAAATCAAAAATATTTTTATTCTCTCCTTGTAGAGCCAAATTCAAGTTTTGAGAACATTTAGTCAGAAAGCCAATTTTCATTCTCCAATTGCGGGTAATGTCCCGATCTTAATTTGCGTATGTGTATTTTAACAGGATAAAATAAAAAAACAACACAAGCAAAGAAATATGTATTTTCAGAAGTAAAAAGAGCCAAAATATTTTCAGCAAAAAATAATAAAGTGAGCCGCACTTTGCTAAGCAAAGAGCCGCATTTGGCTCAAAGAGCAAAGAAATATGTATTTTAAGAAGTAAAAAGAGCCAAAATATTTTCAGCAAAAAATAATAAAGTGAGCCGCACTTTGCTAAGCAAAGAGCCGCATTTGGCTCAAAGAGCCGCGATTGCCCACAGTTTGCATATAGGATCCTTTTTTTCTAGAAAGTGGACCAGGAACCGATCTATTCGAAAATATCGTATTTATTGCCCGTTCTTAAAATTTGGTACATAAGTAGCTTTTAGAATAGCATAAAGGATCCTTTTTTCCAGGAAGTGGGCTGATCTTTTCGAAAAAATCGTATTTGTGGTCCCCTTTGCTTAAAATTTGGTACGTAGGTAGCTTTATGTCTAGATCAGTGTCCGCCAAAAAGAGAAGTCTTAAAATGAGAATGTATTAGTTATGAAATAAAAAATGAGAATGTGTTGGTGGTAATGCACGGAAATGCGTCATCAACCTGCTTCGCCTATTGCACAATATAACCAGTAAACAACCTTCGGTGAATTTGGCGACCGCCTTCCTCGGGGATGAATATGCTAGGGATGAAATTATTGGTACACACGCCTTCCAAGCACGCAGGGTTGCTTTTTAGAAACAAAAAATAATTAACTCCAAATAGTTTCAAAAAGTATAGTGTAAAACGAAATTTATTGAATAATTCCACATAAAATGGTATACATAAATGACGCATTTTCTAAACGATTTAAATTAAACGCATTTGAGAATTGATAGAAAAGTACTACGGATTGTAAATTTTTGTTAACTATGAGGTGAATGAAAATTTTCAACCCTGCCTGATGGTTTTGAAGAATTTTTTTGTTCTAATTTTATTACTAAGGCGTCTAATAAATGCATGGCTTTTAGTTCTAGAAGAATAAATGTCAGTAAAGACAAGTCTTTTTTGTATAATTTCTGACTTTAATTGCTCAACTTCTTCTGAACCAGAACAACTGTCAAAAATTTCCAGCAGTAAAAAGTTACGAATTGGCACAGCAGAAATGAAAAATTTTCTCGCCATAATAAAAAGTTTTTTCAACATGGAACTTTTCTACTAATTGACATGAAATTACTATCTCAACGCTCGGAGCGCTGCCACTGAGGGCCTTTGCCAACTGGTTAAAAAGAGAAAATTTGGAAAGACCAAACAAAAATTTTGAGATTTCTCGTTGTGAATACGAATGCCATAGTTTTTACCTAGCTCGTGGGACTACGCAAAATTTTGACAGCTTGTAAATATGTATACACATAAAGTTGTTGGCGGTAATAAGGAGTCAAAATTAAAATGGAGAAAAGAACAAAAAGCGTAGGTTAGTTGTCAGTTATAAAATAAATCCAATTTATTTGCGAATATTTGTTTATTCTTTTTATTGGAAGGCAACCACTCGGAAAAGCTTGTGTTAATTATATTGATAACAGAACCTGCCAGCTCGCACGTTGTCTAAATTCTCAAGTAACATAAAGTCCACAAAAGAATAAGTACGCCATGTATAAATTTTAACAATACACAAAAATAGAGCTTTCGCACGAGCGTTTGTTTGGTTTTTCAACACCATTTATAATTTTCTTTTAATAAAATCACGATTTGACAAATACTTAAATTTATTTATCTAATAATAATATAGCACACAACCCTGAAATCTAAGAAAAAGTCTGAGGAAGGCCATTAAATAGCAGCACACAACCCCGTGCCTTCCTCAGGAGTGAATATAACTACAACAACAACGATTACTACAACAACAACCCAAAAAGGTTGGTTACTGTCTATACTGTGGCCTATTGTTTGCATGCAACTAAATAAAATTTGTTGCTCTGCTACTCTTTCTGTTGACGTTCGGATTGTGTACGTGTAAGAAGCCGATTGTGTACATGTGAAAGGCCGAATATTCGTTTCCCAGGAAAGTGTTTGGCGGTCACTGGTCTAGATAAGCATATAGGATATTTTTTCCGGGAAGTGGACCAAGGACCGATTTACTCGAATAATAAGTCCGATTGGCTTAAAATACGTACGTAGGTAGCTTTTTGCATAGAATAGCAAATAGGATCATTTTTTCCAGGAAGTGGGCTGATCTATTCTAAAAAATCTTATTTAGGGCCGATGTATTTAAAATTTGGTACGCTTTTTATCTACATTAGCATATAGGATGCTTTTTTCCGGGAAGTGGAGCAGGGACTCATATATTGGAAAAAAATTTATTTATGGTCCGATTTGCTTAAAATTTGGCGCGTAGCTAGCTTTGCCTAGATTAGTATATAGGATCCTTTTTCCGGTAAGTAGGACAGGGACCGATCTATTCGCAAAATATCTTATTTATGGTGTGATTTGGTTGAAATTCGGTACACGTATTACCTATACTAATTATATAAAGAGAAGTCACTTTTTTGTAACAGGTAATCTCGCGAACGGCAGGTCCGATTTTCATGAAATTTTGTACATAAATAGCTTTCATCAACCACCATGTCATGGGCCAAAAAAAACATACTTTTTTCCGGTAGGTTGAAATTTGGATCGTAGGTATTTTTTCGCCTAGATTAACATATACATAGGATACGTTTTTCCGGTAGGTGGACCAGGGACTGATCTATTCGAAAAAATCTTATTTATCGTCCGATTTGCTTGAAATTTAGTACGTAGGTTGCCTTTTGCCAATCTATTCGAAAAAATCTTCTAATATGGTGTTTTAAATATGAAATTTGGCGCGTAGGCAGCTTGCAGCCTGGATTAACATATATGATACTTTTTTCTGATGGGTGGACCAGGGGCCTATCTATTCCTATTCTAATACTATTGAAAAAGGAGCCGTAAAGTGGCGCTGGAGTCCAGTTATTGCAAAAATTTGTCAAGTGAAGTCATTCGGAGACACCAGGGATCAAAATCAAATAACCACCGTTAAATATACCACCATAACCACCTATACTAAATATACAGATTCTAGGACGATTCACCATCGAACCGGACCATTGTTGCCGCAGGAACTTCGACATAACGCTTCCGTTAGGTTATTTAAGACGGCAATGGAGGATAAGTTTTCTGATGACCGCAAAACCAAACGTGAACGGGAAATGTGGTGAAAACGGTGTGCCATATGTTTGAATAAAAAAATTATTATTATTATTATTATTNATTAGAGTAATATAAAATATTAAACTAACTTAAAAAAACACACTAGCTGCCAGGGCCTACGGTGCGATGTTACTGTTTACAACTCTTTCTTTTGTACGTATCTTTGTCTAAATTTTACATATGTTTTTTCCTTTGCATGTGCATTTACATATACAAATTCTGTTCTGATAATTCCGAACTTGACATATACATCTTATAATATATTTTATATTATTAATGTTGGTTAAATTTTGCTGCTTAAATTAATGCCATTGATGTATTTAGCTACTTTTTTAACGTTTCGGAGTGTAATTACAATTAGTAAGGTTGACGGTACAGTGGTACTGAAATTCATTGCTCGCAGTGTCGATAGGTTTGGGCAATCGTCGAGGATGTGTTGGACAGATAGGCGATTTGAACAATACGGGCAGGCAGGTGGAGTTTCACCTTGTAGAAGGTGGCTATGTGTAATCACTGTGTGGCCCAGCCTCAGTCGTGTAAAGTAGCTAATTTCTTTCCTTGATAATTCCGCTGGGTAAAGAGCTTTCTACAATCAGGATTATTGGTGTAGTAAAAATGCTGATAATGGGACCAGTCTGAAGTTTTTATGTTTCGAAGGTGTCTATTTATAAGTTTCTGCAAATCCTTGCTCGGCGATGCATTAAACGTTAACAGGGAGATAAGTATGCGTTCTTGGCCGCCTCATCGGCAAATTCGTTGCCTGGAATCCCCTTATGCCCAGGAACCCAAAGGATTTGGAGTTTCTTTTGGTGTTTTATAAGCCTATCCCTATTTGGTTGACAATGGGATTATCGTGGTAGATATTTTTAATTGCTGAGACTACCGACATACTATCTGTACAAATAACGATATGCCCTTTATTTTTCGATGCAAATTCTGCGGCTTGTAGTATCCGCGACTGCTTCTGCTGTATAAATAGAACAGTGCAATGGGAGCCAACCGGCTGTTATGAGTGTTCCATTTTGGTGCACTACACCGAACGTTGTACTGTGGTCAGTTTATTGATCATCTGTAAATATGGGGATCCAGTTGGACATCTGGCTACTGTTAAAGTGTTCAAAGAATAATTGTTTAAAGCATTCCTTACTGGTGTGTGCTTTGGGGTAGGAGTGTAAACACTCGGTTAAAGAAGATTGTGGCAGCGACCTAAGGCGCTTGCCTACAAATTTGATTGCACATTGGAGGTATTTGAAGCTCTAGTTCTTTGCAATAGGATACGCACCGACGAATAGTAGATTTGGTGTGGTATTTACGTTTGTGGCATGCAGCGAGGCGGAATGAGTTGAATAGCGTTTTATTTGTAGTATTAAAAAACTTGGGGATCAGTCTCCAAGTAGCGAGTTCACGCCGTTCACAAATGGAGGGGAGGCCTGATTCAGCTAACATAGATTTGACTGGTGAAGTGGGGAAGGCGTTTAAGCTGCGTCGAACCGCTGTATGGTATGGCGCTTGCAGAAGTTTTATATGTGTGTCAGCGCACCACCCGTAAATTGGGAGTCCATAATCTATTTTAGATAACATTAGGGATCCCGTTATGTTTATCAATGTGTAAAAAAAAAATAAAAAAAAATAAAATAAAATAAAAAAATTAATTTTATGCGGGACGTAGTATACTATAGTTTCAAGTGACTCGGAAAAATAGGTGCAGTCGGCTTGCATGATTTGAAGTGGAATTGGTCTTAATGTAATTTGTGAAATTTTTGGGCATGCACTTCTCAACTGCCTTGTAATAAAATTTTCTTAAGTTATAATTAAATGGCACTTCAAAGTATGCTCGACCTAGTCTGATGTGTCCTCCGGACAATGCACCGGAACGTTTTTCGGAGGTCGTAATAGATGATTAACATTGGCTACAGTGCCTACCCTCCATGTTTTCATCAAATCAATATTTTTTTTAATACATACATGTAAACATACCGGTCTCCCCTCTTACTGGGTTAATCAGAAGGTTTGTTTTCTTTTTCGATGACCATATTGTTGCCTTTTTATAATCTGGCAACATTAAATAAAAATTTTTCACCATTGTAAAAACAGTGATTTAGGTATTTGAAATTGTTATTAATTTTTTTGTAAATAGCTTACGCATATGTAAACGTAATTATTCATTTTCATTTCATAGTAAATATTTAATTCTGATATTCTCAAAATCCGAGTATTTTTGCAAAAGAGGGAGTGACGTAGTGTTCAGCTGAAAAAGGGAGTGAAACACTCCAGTCGAAATGAAAATGGCAACGCTGGCTGCAATCAGAAATAGGCTTGGTATAGATACTTTGCAGGCAATTTTACTTACAAAACAACTTTCTCAAAATAAAAACTCTCTTCATTTTGGTGCGAATTGCATACAATTACAAAAATTTCATCAAGAAATAAACATATGATTCTAAGGAATAATCCCTCTATGCCCGATGTATATGTTATTAAAAAAGACTGTCCTTATTATCTCATTATACTTAATTAATGATATTTCTTGAGTTTTTAATAAAAATGAGAATCAAGTGCCTTAAACAGTAAAAGCTTTTTCGGGGAATACGATTGAAAATAGGATGATTTTTTCAGGAATCTTAGGGAATAAGCCTTAATAGAGTTGGCATCCCTAGCAGCGAATTAAAAAAATTAAAAATGGCGCCTTTACTGCACCGTGTTAAAGAAGCTATTTCCGCGAAAAAGCGAATATACTTATTAATTTCTTTCTGCAAATTTTGGCAGAAAGCTAAATCGCGACATATTCTATAGTTTTCGAGATCGTTGATTAGATACGAATCAAAACGGTTGATGATTTTTTTTAATATATCAAGTTCGTTACTCGGAGGAATAGGGATCACTGATTAGGGATCTAAAGTCAGATTGGAAAAAATCAAAATATTGGACCCAATGTGGCGGCCAAAAATATCAAAATCGTTTGGATTCGCCTAAAACTTTACAATTGGGGGTTCGCTGATGATGAATCTGTGCCATTTATCACCATAGTTGCCAACTTGCACTAGATTTAGTGCTTTTTGAAAATTAAAACTCCAAAAAAAATTATTTAACCAAAAAAAGCTGAAGTTACAAACCCAATATGTTGAATTCTATTCGCGTAAGTTAAATATTTCTTTTTTCCTTTTTTAATTATTTGTATAAATTTTGATTTTTTTACCACCTGAATAAAAAAAACATCGTTTCTTGGTGCTGAATCGAAATCTGGCCGCATAATTGCTTAGCATTATCCTAACCCTTAAAGTGCCAAAAACACGGTTTTTGGCGATATTTGAGGTTATAACGGGTGATTTTTTTGAGGTTAGGATTTTCATGCATTAGTATTTGACAGATCACGTGGGATTTCAGACATGGTGTCAAAGAGAAAGATGCTCAGTATGCTTTGACATTTCNATACCAGTTTTAATGCGCAGTACTTCGATATTACGTCGTAAGTATGAGTCATCATAGCATGTGTGAGGCTAATCAATCGTTATAAGCGAAAAATTTTGTGTATTGATTTATGTATGTATGTATTCTTGTAAATATTGTTAATTTATTGGTTTTGTTAAATACAGACTGTTATGAAAAAACCATCTTTTGATTCAAAAAAAAATTGCTGCTTTTAGTGTGATAAAACGCTTTTTTCCAAGTTTTTGGTACTTTTTGAAAAGCAAAAGTTGGCAACACTGTTTATAACGGAAAAGTTAAAATCGAAGGTACTCAGAGAAGATGAGAATGTTACTCATACGCCATATACGTACGTTCGATTTTAAATTTTATTAATATATTTAGTAGCAATAACTCTTGTAAAGATTCGAATTTTGCATAATTGTTCAAATTAATTTTTTTTATGGTTGTAAACCGAATAAAGTGATTTGTTCGAAAAAATCCTGACCATCCAATTTTGGGTGGCCCACTTGAGAGATTTTCACTCTATAGAAGAATCTGAACTTTGCCCCCCTGTGCGACACGCCTTAACCGTCTCCAATCGGAACCAAAATTTATGTGTGATATCTGTGATCGTGGTATTACCGATTGAGGGGGTGAGACGGAAAACATCGTTCAGTTTTTTTAAGGACCACCTTAATGTACATATTGTACATTGTTGTTTGAAAAATAATATAAGATATATTTTTTCCACATCATATAACAAAGACTAGCAGACCCGGCGAGCTTCATCCCACGCCCAAAATGAATTTCTTTATTGAAATATTTGGCACAACGTTTTCACCACAATTCACGTTCACGTTTGGTTTTTTGGTTGTCAGAAAGCATATCCTCCATTGCCGTCTTAAATAACCTAACGAATAACTCAACTCCAGAGCCACCTGGCGAGGCATTTTTTCGCAGAAATACTTCCCTTGACGTTACCAATACATATTTTAAATATTAGCCAGATCCGATAATAATTACGATTTATTAATAACTCGACTCCAGCGCCACTTGGCGTTTTAAGTTGTGAACCTAAACTATACAGGAACTTTAGAACAAAAATTTCATTAAACCAGGGACATAACAGATAGAAGTTTTATCGGAAAAACGTTGTACAATAACAGTTATTAGATGAGAAATATTTTTTATTTCGCTGATAAGAGTTATAACCCAACGTTTACTTTTTCCGTTGCCTTATAACTGTTATGCAGGAGAAATATGTTTTCCGTCGCCAATAAGATTTACTTCCCAACGTTTATTTCTTACGTTGCTTGATAACAGTTATTACGCAACGTTTGTTTTTACGTTGTCTGATAAAACTTATTTCACTCCTTCACTTTTATTTTCATCATCTTTATCTTCTCCATCTCCATTTTCATCTTTATTGTTATCTTACAACCCTAATTTATTTTTCATGCAAATATAGGTTAGAGTATTTTTTATGAAGTGTGAAGTAAAGTGTTTTGTGATATATATATATATTGTTACTGTAGGTAACAAAGATAAATTTTGTAAAGAAAATTAAAAAGATACTTACCATTATTGACACAGATTTCCAGGATCTATTTATTTTTTGCACTTCTTCACAAATATCGAAATACCGAAACTTTATTTGTACTTAATCGTAATGAACCGAGCCTCGAATTTACACAATAGAAATATTGTACTTCGTATACTCAAGCAGCCCAATTCTGAATACACCTGGGGAGTCTGTTCTCCGGGATTCGTTTCTCCCGAGAAAGAAATCTTCCACTTATTAAATCCCACTGAGTAGCATTTTCCTGAAAATTTGGGAGGAGGAAACTGGAACTTCGAAAGAGCTGTTTGACACCTTTTTGGCAGCTCAACATTTAAAAGAACAAAAAAAGAAAGTCTAAGTTCGGGCGGAGCCGAACATTAAATACCCGGCGCAAGTATTAAATATATGTTTTCCACCTTTCCGAAAGCTACCGCTACATGATAAGCCGGGGTGTATACCGTTTAAGTAGTTAAATTAGTGTCCTTAAATTTCGAAATATTGAAATTTCAAGCATATCTCAAATTTACCGTTATATGAAAAGCGGCCTCAATTTTAGTCCGATTTCAACAATTTTCAACGGTTTGCTTTTATGTGGCAAGCACAATAACCATACCGAG